GGAAATTTGAAAGAACTTGCCAAACCTTTCAGTGAACAAGAAAAGATAGTTCATTGCAATAAAAGTGCACAGAAAGTGGCCCAGATAGCCTAATCTTTACAGAAGTAGGAATTTTTAGTGAGGTTAGGGGAAATGGACTGCAAGGGCAAAGAGATTCAAAGACAATCTTCCCTTTGGACTCCAGGGGTGTAAAAAGCAGGATGAATGATAATACTGAGATTTGAAGGGCAGAGTCAGGCTTCAGAAAGGACCGGAAACTCTACAACCTCAGACTGAAAAAATAGTCTTGGGCCAGCAAGAAGGCTCGACAGGTAAAGGCACATGCCACTAAGCCTGATGACCTGAGTTTGATCCTCAGGACCCACATATTGGAAGGAGAAAATGGGCTCCTGAAAGTAGCCTCTGACTTGGACACACATGCTGTACCACACACATAAACATGTACACAAAATAAAAAGAAAATGTAACAAAAATGATTCATTTATCAAAATATTAATATTTTCTTTTTAAAAAATATTTTTCAGGCTGGAGACACTGTATTGTATGTGTGTAAGTATATTGCCTGCATGCATGTAAGTGCACCCGTGTTGTGCAGTGCCTGCGAAGGACAGAAGAGGATGTTAGATCCCCTGGAGCTGGAGTTACGGATGGTTAACTGCCTTGTGGGTGCTGGGAACTGAATTCAGGTCCTCTGCTAGAGCAGCCAGTACTCTTAGCTGCTGAGCCAGCTCTCCAGCCCCCAAATATTAACAATATTTTCAATGCATCTCGCCCGTTTCTCTGTATACACTACCTCATGGCCTGTTTCTTCCTTATGCTTCCTTTTGAAACCCTTATCTCATTAGGTTCCTCATCCATCTCCTCTTTCTGGTCTGCACTTTATTATCCCATCTCAAGGCATATTGTATCTTCCATCATGCATACCATCACTAAGTGGACACGTGAATCCCTTAGTCAGCCCTGACCCCGGTGAGGTATTGAGGACCAGAGCTAAGAAATGTAACTTGAACAATCAGTTGGTCTGGGGTTGTTATAAACAGGTTTCAAAATGATACAAACACATTTTGGACTTTCAGGATGATTTTATATATACAAAAGCAGCATTTACTTTAGCGGTGCTCAAGGCTCTAAGAACCCATCACTGTCCTCAAGGCAAATTGTGGAATTGCTATAATTCTGTTTGTTCATACAGTATATATTTATTGAGCATCACTTGTGGGATATAAACTTAATACCAAGCCCAGTGGCACACAGGCTTGCCCTCAAAGAGTGCACAGGTGGGTAGGCAGACAGAAACATGAATACATTCTCTAACTCATGGTGAACACTACAGTGAAAACTGGGCTATCACTATGTAATAAAGAAAACAAATCTTTAAAGCCTAGATTGGAAACAAGGATATTGGAAAACTGGCATAGCTACTAAAGCTGACTATACATTTACCTGCATCCCTTCCACTAATATGTAACCTGAAGAATTGTGCAACTATGTCCTAGCATGTTTTGGGTTTGTTTGTTTGTTGATACATGGGACTGAACCCTGGGCTTGACACACACGCTAGGCGAACATTTTCTCACTGAGCCCCAGCCCCAGCACAATGTCATCCCTTTTCATTAGAAATGACTCAAATGTCTGTCAACAATAGAATGAGAAAAATCACTTTACACAGATTTTAACAATGAGCACAAACCATAACTACAGCATGAATGGATCTGACCTACATAATGCTGAGCAAAAGAAGCCAACACACACTGGTTCGGCATGGTGGCTCATGGTAGCTCACTCCTGGAATCTCAGCACTTGGGAGGACTAGGCAGGAGCATTGCTGCAAGTTTGAGGCCAGGCTAGACTAGAGAGTGAGGCTCTGTTTCAAAAAAACGGAAGACTTGAAAAAGAGAAGAGGGACTGGAGAGATGGTTCAGTGGTTAAGAACACTGACTGTTCTTGCAGAAGACCCAGTTCGAATCCCAGCACCCACATGGCAGCTAACAACTGTCCATAACTCCAGTTCCAGGGGATAAGACAGCCTCTTCTGTCCTCTGTGGGCATTGCACAACACGGGTGCACTTACCTACATGCAGGCATAATGCTCATAGACATAAAATAAAAATAAATAAAATATTTAAAATAAAGAAAGAAGAAACGCCATGGTTCATAAAGGAGGAATCAATCTGTTGTCCCTGCTGTTTGGAAAGCCTGTGGTGGAAGCATGAAAGGGATGCTTCAGTTGTTGGAGGATTGAAGGCAGGCAGTTGGAGTCTGAGTTGGCACAGTCAAGCATCTCTTTTGAGAGGCACAGGTCAGTGTTTAATCCACTACTCAGAACTATGATCCAGTGCCCCCGCCCCAGAGCATTCAGTAATCCTGTTCCACCCGCAACTGACCTGGGGTCTCATACAAATCAAGGATAAATTATGTCTGGGAGAAGAGGAAGGAGAACCTCCGCAGGAGGCAAAATGACACAGATTGTGACAGAAACAACCAGAAGAGAACATGAAATAGAAGTGTGGGTCTAGCCTGACATCCCAGGCAGGATATGAAGGTGGGCGTGTTCAACCTGGGCCACAGAGCCCCATGTGACTGAGGATAGCTAAGAATGAGGCCCAACACAAAATTATAACTAACTTAAAACTTTGAGATTTGTATGTATTTGGCTGTGTGGCCTCCTCCTCCTCCTCCTCCTCCTCCTCCTCCTCCTCCACTCAGTTGCATGGTTCTCATGTGCTAACTTTGTAGATGACAGCACTGTGTTGCAAGGTAAAAATGTTGGACATGTCTGGCTGGGCAATGTCCTCCTCCAAGTTGCAGGAAAGCCTTTCCTTCAGAGGAGCAAGGAGTAAATGTAATGACTTCTACCACCAGCACTTTATCTGTCTGCCCTCTAGCTAGCTAGTAATAGCTCTAGCTATCATCTACTACCTACCTTTCTTTTTATTGTTTGTTTTTAAATTTTTATTTATTTATTTTTATTGTATGGGTATGAGTGTGTGCCTACATGTATGTAAGTGTACCCCTACATGCAATGCTCACAGAGGCCAGAAGAGGACTTTGGATCCTCTGGAACTGGAGTTACGATGGTTGTTAGCTACCATGTGGGTGTTGGAAACTGAACTTGGATCCTCTGTAAAAGAAGCTAGTGTTCTTAACCTCTTTTTTTCTTTTTTTTTTTCTTTTTTTGAGACGGTCTCCCTGTAGCCCCGGCTGTCCTAGAACTCACTATGTAGATCAGGCTGGCCTTGAACTCACAGACATCTACCTGCCTCTGCCTCCCAAGTGCTGGGACTACAGGCGTGCATCACCACGCCTGGCTTTAACCTCTTTTATCTCCAACCTTTGACCCTGCTTTAGTCTTTACAATCTTCTTTCTTTCTTTTTCTTTCTTTTTTTTTCATTTCTTTGAGACAGGTCCTCCCTGTAGCCCCCAGCTGGCCTGGAACTTACTAGGTAGACCAGGCTGGCCACAATCTCCCAAAGATCTGCCTGCCTCTGCTTCCCGAGTGCTGGGATTAAAGGTATGTGCCACCATGCCTGGCTAACAAATTTTATTTTATTTATTTATTTATTTATTTATTTATTTATTTATTTATTTTTTGTCTTTTTTGAGACAGGGTCTCCTTTGTAGCCCCAGCTGTCCTGGAACTCACTATGTAGACCAGGCTGGCCTCGAACTCACAAAGATCCACCTGCCTCTGCCTCCCAAGTGCTGGGATTAAAGGTGTGTGCCACCATGCCCGGCCACAAATTTTATTTTTTAAAAAAGCTTTGAGGAGCTGGAGAGATGGCTCAGCGGTTAAGAGCACTGGCTGCTCTTGCAGAGGACTCGGGTTCGATTCCCAGCACCCATATGGTGGCTACAAACGGTTCTTAACTCCAGTTCCAGGGGAATACAAAGCCCTCTTCTGATCTCTGCAGCATTGCACAACACAGGTGCACTCACATACATCCAGGCAATACACTCATACACATAAAAATAATAATAATAAAGAAATAAAATATTTTTAAAAGCTTGATAATAAATTAACAATTACAATTGAGTTACTGCTTTTCTCTCTTTTACTTGTGTTTTATAGTATATCAATACAGCTAAGTTTCTAGGAATCAATTACCTTCTCTTTTTTTTTTTATTTGCAGAGAGAAGCTATAAGACACTAGGAATTTAAAGACAAATGATAAAATATTACCTAGCTTGGTTCTTATTAATACACCCTCTGCTCTCAATAACCAGTCCCAGGAGTAGGCAATGTATACAGCTGTCCCCGTATGGATTTGAAGTACCCCAGAAGATCCCTAACCTAAATCTTCCTGCAAATGACCCTCTCATACTCACATTCCTGTTTTGTCTCCTCCCACCCTGAACAGAATGGACCCATGTAACTCATAAAACATAGCAGAAGCTGGGACACAGAGACAGGTGGATCTCTGGGAGTTTAAGGCCAGCCTGATCTACATAGTGAGTTCCAGGTCAGCTGGGGCTACAGAGACCCTGTCTCAAAAAGACTAAAAAAAAAATTTATTCATTTATTTGTTTATTTAATGTGTATGAGTGTTTTGCCTACATTGTGTAAGTACACTGTGTCATGCAGTGCCCATGGAAGCCAGGAGAGAGAATCAGATCTCCTGGAACTGGAGTTACAAAGACTGTTAGTGGTCTTGTGGATGCTGGTAACTGCACCCGGGTCCTTTGCAAAAGCAACCAGTGTACTTAACTGCTGAGCCAGCTCTCTAGTCCCTTACTTGGTTTTTAAAAATAGAGTCTCACTATGGCAGCTAACAACTGTCCATAACTCCAGTTCCAGAGGATCTGACAGCCTCTTCTGTCCTCCATGGGCATTGCACGACACAGGTGTATTTACATGCAGGCAATACATGCATACACATAAAATAAAAATAAATAAAATATTTTTTAAAAGAAGGCAAAATAAAAGCACAAAACAAAACGAATATGAGAACTTTTCAAAAGACCAACCTCCTTTCTCTGGGCTCCGTTTGGGTGTACTTACCTAAATTTTGAATCTCGCCATCTGTGAGTCTCCAGTTTTTCAACCCAAGTTTGACAATCTGTGGACCTCCTTCCAAATGCTTCAACAGATTGGGTAGGCAAGTGCGCACATTCGAGGACCAAGGCAGCATCAGAGTGGTTAGCTGTTCTAGAATGTTCAGCTTGACAACTTGAAGAAACAGAGCAATTCAGGAACTGCATCATTTCAAAGTTGATGAAGGATATGGATAAAAGAATGGTCTTTATGTTTGATAGCCCTGTGGATTACTTGATCTTTTATGAGAATCTACTTGGTTTTTGGTTATTTTGTGGAAAATATTCAAACACATAAACATTGTAGCACAATGAAACTGTGTGCTAATCCAACTATCAACAAACTAGGTAGACAAGGCTGGCCTTTATCTCACAGAGTGCTGGAATTAAAAGCATGCACTACCTTTCCAGGAGCATATCACTATTAAACCTTAAGAATCTTATTATTCCAGTGAAATTATCAGCATTAAAATCTCCAAATGTTTCTATCATCTAGGAGCTTGTATATAGTGTCTTTGCTGCAACCAGACCACAGAAGAGTATCTCAGGCCTTTGATGATTATTTCTCATCAAAAGTTGATATGATAGTTGTATAAACCAATCTTATGAGTCATGGACAGGAGCCTTATCAGTAAATCTTTAATCAATTTATCTTCAACACCAGTCATTAGCTTCCTTGTAGTTGGCAAAGAGGAGGAGCCTCAGGTGTAATGAGGATGTACAAACTGTCGAGATACAGAGGCAGATGAATCTCTGTGAGATTGAGGCCAGCCTGGTCTACATAGAGAGTTCCATACTAGCCGGGGACACAAGGAGACCCTGTATTTATTTATAATAATAAATAAGATAAAATAAAATAAATATTTGTTCAAAACAAAACAAAACAAAACATGGGCCTGTCTTCCTTAAAGGGAGTTTAAGAAAGGGATAACCAAATAAAAAAATAAAAATAAATAAATGAACCGACAGTCTCTTCTGACCTCCGCCAGCATTGCATGACATGGGTGCACTTACCTACATGCAGGCAATACACACATACACATAAAATAAAAAGAAATAAAAAATATAAGAAAGGGATAACCAGTTTTGTTAAGATAGGTGAACCTAGTAAGGTGCACATGGGTACAGAGACCTCAGAGTTCAGGCTGTGTTTTTCTAACTACCCAGTTCACATATTAAAGTATTTCATGGGCAGAGTTGTTATTCTTACTTAGTTCGTGGAGAGCTTCATTTCCATCCTTTTCCAGATAATTTTCTGATAAATCAAGAATGTTCAGCTTGACTAAATTGTGAAGGTTCTGTGCTGTAAAAAAAATGCCATCTAAAATGAAAATATTTTCAGGCAATCATATAAACATTTTTCAATATCCTTAGAATTCTGAGTTCTTGTTTTCTTTGCTGATGAAAATACAAGCCATTATTTGACTTGATTAGATTAATTATTTCTCAAAAGAACTGGGATAGGTCCACCTTGCAAGCTATATCCAAATGAGCAGGTATTTCCTGGTCCTAGGTTCTCCAGGACACACAGAGCCCAAAACAGCATGAAATATATTTTTGTAATTCTAGACACTAGATTGTGGTTTAGCCTTTATTGACATTTTTAAAGGGGTATATTTTCTTGCATAACTGTTTAAAAACAGATCCGTTTCAGCCCTTAGAGCTGTTCCTTGTCTTATAGGTACAAGTTTTGTAGCTCAGACAACTGAGAAAAACTAGACTGTTCTTGAAGTTTTGTTTGCACAGCTGTGGGGCGGGTGCTGCTTCCCAGCTGATAGGCCCAGTTGGTCTGTGACAGGCAGGGAGTGGGGCAGGCAGGTACCACTCTGGCAGATGGGGTGCTCTGTACTAAAATGGTACTTTATATCAAAAGTGAAACAGACTTTAGTCTTTTTAAAGGTTAATTTTTGTTTTAAAAATTAAGTAAAACGGGCTGGAGAGATGGCTCAGGGGTTAAACGCACTGACTGCTCTTGCAGAGGACCCGGGTTCGATTCCCAGCACCCACATGGTGGCTACGAACCGTCCTTAACGCAATTCCAGGGGAATCCGAAGCCCTCTTCTGACCTCTGAGGATTTGCAATACACTCATACACATAAAATAATAAATATTTTTTTAAATTAAGTAAAACTTTCATGAATATTTATACTTTCTCTTATAAGTCTGTCTTTCCCTAGTAGCAAGTAGAGAAATGAAGGTGCATGCTCATCGTTCTCATGTTCCCAGTATTGGTCTAGCCTTTTCCAATCATTGGATTCTTTGGTTGGAATATACAAAGGATAATCTTTATAGATCCATAGCACTTTCTGATTTCTTAAAGATTTTAAAAAGTTTTTATTTATTTATATCCTATGTGTATGAGTGTTTTGCTTGAATTTATGTAAGTGCTCCCATGTCATGCGATGCCTATGAAGAAGAGGACATCAGATCGCTTGGAACTAGACCCAGGTCCTCTACAAGGCAACCAGTGCTCTTGACCACTGAGCCATCTCTCCAGTCCCTAAAGATTTATTTTTATTTGTAATTATGTGTGTTCATGTGTTTCTGGGGTGGGTGGGTGGGGTTATGTACACTTGAGTTCAGTTATCCATGAAGACCAGAGGAGGGTATCAGGTGCCCTGGAGTTGGAGTTACAGGTCATTGTGAACCACAGTATGTGGGTACGGGGAACCAAACTCAAGTCCTCTGCAAGAGCAGCAAGCACTCTTAACCACTGAGCCATCTCTCCACTACCCATAGTCTCATTTTAAAAGGTTATATCATTTATTTTCCAAAATCTCAATTTTTTTTTCAGATTTGAGCAGCTTATCCAGAAATAAACAAAAGTTTCTCTATAATTGATATACATACCCTTTGGGACCTCAAAAGATTCAACTGTTAGGTTAGTGTGCATTAACTCCATCTTAACAAAGCAAGAAGAATGAATCAGAAGCCTGATAACATGAAGGAAATCATTCTCTGTCTACAAGAAGTAGACAGTGATAAGAAGTGTGGTACATTTAAAATTTTTCTTACTTTTCACCCTCTCTTAAAGTAATAACATTTTCAACTATTCTGTAATCCTCTCTTTTTTTAATTTTAAATTTTATTTTATTTTATTTTATGTGTATGAGTGTATTGCCTGCATGTATGTGAGTGCACCCGTGTCCTGCAATGCTCGGAGGTCAGAAGAGGGCTTCGGATTCCCCTGGAATTGGAGTTAAGGATGGTTTGTAGCCACCATGTGGGTGCTAGGAATCGAACCCGGGTCCTCTGCAAGAGCAGTCAGTGCTCTTAACCACTGAGCCATCTCTCCAGCCCTGTAATCGTCTCTTATTATGCATTAAAAATGTTAATTCTGATCATGGAGAAAACTCGTTAAAAACAGATTAGGTAATGTATGCATTATCTTTCCCAGTTTCTCTCAAATTTAAATTTCCATTTGAGAGGTTGTGTGCATCAGCATGCACATGTCACTTGCTCTGTTGTATTGTCTCAGCTAATGGAGATGATGGTTGCAATGGTTACCTAGTGTTTTCACAGAGTTTGCCGACAGACAGCAGGAGACTAATTTGATTTCTTGCAGGTCACAGGCTTCTCCTGACAGGGACTTGACTATGTAATCCATTCCGTCTCCAATGTCAGACAAATGGGTCAAATGAAATAAACACATCTTCTTCAGATTTACCAGACCTCCTGCTACAAAGAGATTGAAAAGAAATACATGAGGAGTCCAGGTTAATTTGATATAAATACAGGTTAATGGGGTGTCAAAGCATACTCTATATCCATGGACCAAGCCTGAGGTTTGAAGCTCCCATCAGAGGCTGCGGGTGCTGGAGGCTGTGGGCACCAGACTGTGGTCTTCATTGGTTTGGAGTTACCTTGAGGACTGTGAGCAAGAGGAGGCTGCAGCCCACCCAGGACACCCTCACCCTGACATCTTCAGCTGTAAACAAGATAAAACAGCTTCTTAAGGGGCTGGAGAGATGGCTCAGTGGTTAAGAACACTGTTCTTGCAGAAGACCCAGGTTTGAACCCCAGCACCCACATGGCAGCTAACAACTGTCTGTAACTCCAGTCCCAGGGGATCTGACAGCCTCTTCTGACCTC